GTCATTATTATACAAGCCACAAATGGAGAGAGTAAATGTATCAACCATATATCAACCACAGTAGGGGAGCCATCTTAAAATGTTGCCAATTCCCTGGGACCCCCAATCCTGGTGACATAACCAGGTCTTGAGGGGCTTCTTGAACATTAACAGGGGTGGAACATTAACTGGGTTTTGAAGAAGATGGTGAGGCAGGAAGAAAATCTACTCTTATGGCTATCGTTTGTGAAGACTATAACAGCTGTCTGTTATTAAGATTTTGTGGGGGTGGGGGGGAGTGCCTTGAAATCAGTCTTGACTCTTGGCGACTGCCTGGATGAGTCCCTGAAGTTTCTTGATAAAATTTTTGGAAGTGGTTTGCTATTGCCATCTTCCTAGGGCTGAGAGAGAAGGACTGGGCCAGGGTCCTCCAGATGGCTTCCATGCCTAAGGTGGGACTAGAATTCATGGTCTCCCATTTTCTAGCCTGGTGTCTTAACCACTATACCAAACTGGCTCTCTTTATTAAGATAGTAATACATAATTTATGGTTAGAATTGTTTGATTTTCATCTTCAACTTTATGTGGAGAATTGATCCTATTATACAGGTGGATGAATCTTTCCTCACTTGATCTGTAAATCAGTGGTTACAAGGATTTTCCCTGTTTCTTGCAATACTGTTCTTTCAACAACCTCATCAGACTTAAGGTTCTAGACCAAATATGAAGATTGCCTACCAATTTGACATTAAACATATTCAGCAGTCAGACCAATTTGGCTTCTTTACAAACCATGGTTCAACCAACAATGGCATAATATGTGTTAACTCAATCTTTGCATTTCTTAAAACCTATTTCATGGCATTGTCCATCTTGTTTTCTTCTTTTTGCTCATGGTAACGTCATTTTCTAACGTTCCCTTTTTGCAGTCGTCTCTGAGCTCTGCGTCTGCATCTTCTTTTCAACCTCATGTGCCTTATAGTCCCTTCAGAGGGATGCCACCCTACAGCCAGCTTGCTGCCAGTTCCTTAATTGGCCAACAGTATGCAGCATCCCTTGGATTAGGTGAGTAACAAAGGCCTGCTTGTCACTGAGATGATCAGGGTCTGGGCTGCACCGTTTAAGGGTGGGGTACATGTCCACAGAGAATATTCTTCTGAAGAAGAAATGTCTATTGATGAATAAAGAAAGGGTTTTTAAAAATAATTTCTATCAAAATGTTGGAGTATTTGAGGAAGACATTTCACTATGTAACTCTCTAATCTGAAGACATCCCACCTTGACGTAGACTGATTGCGTAGAGTGAGAATCAGGCCAAAGATACACTGAAGTTGGGCCATTTCTGAGTTGCTGAAAGCATAGCTTCACAAAAACCAGTGTCTCCACGAAGTTAAGCCAGTTTTTTTTTTAAACCTAACTGCTTACTGGTTTTAAACTAGGTTATAAAGTGAAGCTTATTCAACTAATCAACTTTTAGACAGACTACTCAGTGTGTGGTACATATTAGGTGATTTAGACTGAAGATGAAAGCCTGACACTACTTAAGGCATGAACTAATTACAGTTGCTGTTTCCTAACCTTAATTGATAAGCTGTAAAGTTTTTTACAAGTTCACAATATATTTTGGGGGGGGGGGTTGTGTGTGAGTAAAAATATGTGAGCTGGTAATGAGTATCAGTTGAAAACTTCCTAGGGTTCCGTCTTCCTCTTTTCAGTGTATCTGAGCAGTTAGTGTTTAAGTTTTTGTAGGGGTAGAAAAATGTTGGACTCTGTTTCTACGTGAATATTGATATACTTTTTGAAACACAATTTTCTCTTTATATACACACTGAGCAATGTGAAGATTAAAGGTTACTCATTCTGATTCACATACGTTCAGGAAAAATGAATTATACTACGTTAAAATACAAAACAATTTTTTTTTTTTGTCCACATCTTCATTTCTATTAGTTGTTAAAGCATTTCAGCATAAAGTTAGCACATGATATGTAATGTTCATCTAGTGGTGGGCAACTTGACCAAGATCTGTCTTGTTCCTGGTCAAATTCTTCCAAGTTTCAAAACTTTTAAGAATATGTTAGCTGCTTAAACTTTCTTTCCCCAGTCATCTGGATGTCAGTACTGCTGTGTGTCTCACCAGTCTCCTTCTCTGCTTTTTCTTCTCCTCTCTTGTCTGTCTTTCTAGAGAAGCTGGTAAGCCCTCCAGCATCAGCAGCTGCTTCCAGTCCTAGCACTTCTTCATCTCCTCAGCCAGTTTCAGAACCTGACTTATCATCAGAGCCACATCTGCTGTCTTCTAAGGGTAACAGCAGCTTGAGGATTCCAAGTATTAGAAGAATTCCATACTGTTTGCAAACGTTTCCTTTTTTTAAACCCCCCTTCTTCCTCCTGAACCAAGTAACACCTGCAAGAATTACTGCAGTAGTCTTGTTTCTGAAAGCCTTGGTGCATTTGCTTCTGCTCCAGGTATTGGATGGGTGGATGAACAGGAATTCACTTCTAGACAGTCATTTGACATTCTGAGGTGGAACTAGAGTGAAGGGATAGTGCAGAGTAGAGCCAGAGAAATTTAGGAGCATGAACACATGGAGAATGAGCTGTTGCAGATTTGGAAGCCTTCCACTTTGCAAAAAGCCCTACCTGTGCTACTAAAAGAAGAGGGAAAAAAAAATACAAATTAAAGCTTGGAGAAATTATTCCTATAAAATTTAGTATATTGGTGGATGATAGGACACCCATGAAACAATCCATTGTACAAGGGCATGTCTTACGAATTCCTGAGTGGCCTTGGAACACAGCAGCTTGTGTTTTGTAAAACAGCTTCCCCAGATAAATTGAGTATGGCCAGGTGAATTCAGCATTGTAACTAGTTGATGGGTGTGTGGTTTCCTCTTGCTTGAATCCTGCGGCAAGCATGTGAGGCCAGGGTTCAACAATGGCAGGTAAACAACAATTGGGAAGGAGAGGATAAGTAGCAGCCTCTTAATTCAGTATTGAATGTTTCTACAATACGAGTTTCTTCAGGGGGTTGTGATTCTTGTTGTCTTCATGTGATTATATTGTTTCTTCTACACTTGTCTAAGTACAGTCGTGCATTTCCTTGATAACTCTTGAACATAGTTAATGCTTGGTAGATAGATGGCATTTCCTTTGCACGTGCTCTTGAATTTTGGATTTTCTAAAGCAGAGATCTAGGAAGAACCATTTGAAGATGCAAATCTCAGAATTATACTTGCAACTTGAGGATTCTGGGGAAGCTGTATGAATGGCCTTTAAGTAGCAATAGAAGTTCTTTGAGTTTCTTGCAGAGCATATTCAGAAAGGGCACTTTCTGAATGTATTTTGTCAAGTCATTTGCAATATGTCTTGGCATTAAAGAGGTTATTTGCAGTGCTAGATTTTTTTCCCCTTCAGTACCGTCTAAGTAAGGTTTCAAGAGGCTTTGACATAACACAAACATTGGATAAAATATATTTTACTGTTGTCAAGTGGTAATTAAATATATGTGCCTATAAGCATATACTTATACAAATCAGAATTCATGGTTCAGATCTAATTTTCAATAATTAATTTAGTTACAAAGTGTTTGGACTTGTGGAAATGAACAATAGACATAATCTACTACATACAGTTGCTTACCATGTGAATTAGTTTCAAACACCCTTACAGTGTGGTGTTTAAAAATAAAGGTAGATGTATGAGACACAGACAAGGTTTATGGGTGATCATATGACATATATAATATTTGTCTTCTAGAATATGATGTTTCAGCCAGCATTGCAATAATCGAAGGTTTGATGGGAAAGCAGAGATGAACTTAATCATTGATCAAAAGGACAGAGTTATATATTCAGTGAACTGAATTCTGCAGTTGAAAAGCTATGGGAACCCATGTATCTTCATGCTTTATTCTCCTTCCAAAACAGAAGCTTGATGTGTCTTTAGCAAGAATCTTGATCTCTCTGTGCTCCTATTGAATCTTCATGCTATTGTCACAATTTGTGTGTGTATGTGTGTGTGTATCCTAGTGTAGAGCTTAATACTTATCATGAGGAGCTGTTAGCTCCTTGAGATAGATCAGGTCAAGAAACAATCTCTGGATTATGTAGTTGCTTTTCTAAGTCCCTCCTTACAGGCTCGTACCTTCCTTTCCCCTTAATGGCTTTTCATACCTTCCCAAGGTCAGCTCCTAATTCTTTTACAGGAACAGAGGCTGAAACATTGTCTCTTTGCTTGTGGAAGCCTTATTGAGTTTCCTTTCATAACAACATTCTCGTAACTATTCTAAATTTGCATGTTTGAGTGGAGTGGCTTTCAAATGTGTTATTGTATTTATATCAGAAACTATTTTATCAAATAAACTGATAGAAGTCTAAATGATTTTCTGAAATACACTGATTCTGGGAAAAATTTGAATATGTACTCTCCCAGGAAAAGCTGGGTTTTCCTCCAAACCAGATCATGGAATGTGTAGATTTGCTGCTTTTAACTTTTACTGGATGGGGAGGTCCAGTCTGCTAGCAAGTTCCGCAAGTCTGGAGTTGGTCTACTTTTGCACTGGTATCTTTGAGCATTGGTGGATTTTTGCTACTAGTTGCCTGTGTCAAAGTATTTGGTACGGTGAGGAATCAGTGATCAAAATCCACCACCAATCAACAGCTAACCTTTGTAAATGTGGATATGTTCATATATCATTCTGAACAATATGGCTTTTTTGGCTTTGGCTTAGCATGCTGCACATATCCAGCCAATCGTAGCTTAGTCAAAAGAGCACACTTAAAGTTTAGTGAGATGTGTGAACCTGGTCTTTCAATTATGATAATACATCTGTGTGAAAGAGCTTAGCTTTGTTCTTAAAGATCCAGAATAGGTAGGTAGAGTGCTTTTCATCTAAATCTGAGAGCCTATACGGTTTGGAATGAAATATGCACAAAGTAATCACCATACAAACCTGTTGAAATTTGCTGATAGTTTGGGGACTATAGTAAATCAAATTCGCTCCTTGTAGCATTTCCATGTGGTGTCCCTGATCAATTGCTAATGCTTCCTAGAGTAACCCTCTTTCTGGAGAACATTCTGTTTCAAATTCTTTTAACAGGATGAGGGAAGCCAAGGTCTCTGAGCACAAATCAAGTTTGGTCAGAACAAATGCAGCGGTTACTGACATTGCTTGGTTTCTCTCAGGTGCTGCTTTTCCATCTGTTCATTCAGTGCGCAAAAGTCCAATGGTGGAGCAAGCTGTTCAGACTGGCCCCCTCGATAACAGCTTGAATCCCAAAAAGGCAGGCAAAGCTCCTCCAGCGATTCAACGCAACACACGTCAGATTCAACAGAATAACAAGGCAAATGGTACTGAAATCTTTTCCTTCAGATATATGCCAGTGTTTTAAAATAATAATAATAATAGTAATTGGAACTACCATCTGCTGTTACCTTTCAGCATCTTGACTATATTGAGTGAACAGGCTTTCCTATTTTGTCTTAGATATAGTTGAACCACCACCTGTGCAAACGCAAGGGCAGGTGAATGATGAGAATAGAAGGCCCCAGAGGAGGAGATCAGGTATGTTACCTGATTGTAAATTCTCCAAAGTAACTGAATTACCCTCTTCTGCATTACTTCTGTAATACAAACTCGCATAGAAGAACAAAGATTAATTACTAATTAATTAAGAGTGCTCCTACTTAAATTGAAGTCTAGGGGAGTTCAACATTTCTGTGCCTGAAGAACTAAAAGAATTACTGTGAAAGGACATTAGTATAATCCACAAGGACGTGAAGTCTTATGTAGTAATATGACTAGTAGCGTTAGCCTAGGAAGCTGTGCTGGTCTTTGAGAAGTAGTTCAAATCTAAGTCAAATTGTAAAATGAATTAGAATGGAAGAAAGGTTAGACTGCTTTCTTTCTGTATTCCAGTTCAAT